ACTTGGATTTCAAAACAAAAAAGTATTTTATTCCAGTTCCCATTGGATACATCAACTTGCAGAGAAAATCATTTTTGTTTCCAGACTCAACAGTGTGTTTGAAGGGACTGGCTCCTTTCTACATTGATTTCCCTGTCTCTAAATCTGCAGAACAGATGTGAATATCTCCCCTATCTCCATACTGATGTTACTGATTCTGCCATTAATTAGAATTAATTGTATCTGATGCTAATATGAATATAGTTAGGAAAGATATTTTAGTAGAAATTATGTGTTCACATTTATTGCACTTTGCACCAGCAATCAAATGCTACTATGAACTCCTCTATACAGCTCTGTACCAAGGCCGAATACTTGGTCAAAATCATCTAGTAGGAACATTTAGAAACTTAGACAATAGGTCTAAGATTTAAGATAATTTGGTTGAAGTAGGCATAGTGTTTACTTATAGGAGTATTGTATAATCTAGAAGAATGAATAGAGATGTCAGGATCCAGAATTAATGGGAAATGAGGAAAGCCAACCATACAGCTTGTAGGTACCTGCCAAGAAACAGTGAACTTAAGCAAAAGGTAATTCCAGCAGGGGGAGATCGTGACCACTGACTCATGGACCACCTACCCATATTATACCTCAGATGAATTTCTAGAAGTTTCTAACCTTTACTGCACAGAATCAGAAATAGGAGGAGAATATGTTAATGATTTCTAGGAAATAGTATATGTATGATTATTTAATGAATATTGTGCTAGTTTGAAAACAAACTAGTGGGAGTCACCAAGTCAGAATAACAATTTAATATGGAAAAAAAATATTATAAAGGCAGATAGCACTGGGTTAAACTAACAGAGTCAGGATACAACCTGACACCCTGTTAATCGGGGTGGTGATAGCAGTCTGGTAGAATGGTGGCTGCAGTCCCCCCGAAGCGGTGATCCTGTAGAAAAAAAAAGATCTGCTCTTCCTCAGAAAAGTCCAGTGGTGGCTAAGTAGCTCCTGTCCTCTGGAAATCCAGTGGAAAAAAGAACGTCTCTGGTATTCAGAATCTCAGGTTATATCCAGGATGGAATGCTGGTTTTCTCTGGGTGGAGCATCTCACAATGGGATAATGAGTCATGCTGCATGGCATTGATGGGCCATTAACAGAAAGAT